ACAATATCGGGTTTATTGTCGCTATTCACATCGACGACTGCTACTGCTTGAGGATTATTGCCAACCGTGTAAGTAGTTTGAGCAATAAAGATGCCGTTGCCTGTGTTGAGAAGAACACTGACGGTGGTCGTTCCAGAGTTTGCAACAACAATATCGGGTTTATCGTCGCTATTCACATCGGCGACTGCTACTGCTTGAGGGCCGCCACCAACTGAATAATTAATTTGATTATTAAAGGTGCCGTTGCCTGCGTTAAGAAGAACACTGACGGTGGCCGAATCACGGTTTGCAGTGACAATATCGGATTTATTGTCGCTATTCACATCGACGACTGCTACAGAAAATGGATAAGTGCCAACTGCGTAAGTAGTTTGAGCCTTAAAGGTGCCATTGCCTGCGTTGAGAAGAACACTGACGGAGTTCGAAGCCATGTTTGCAACAACAATATCGGGTTTATTGTCGCTATTCACATCAGCGACTGCTACTGATCGTGGATGACTACCAACTGGGTAAGTAGTTTGATCCTTAAAGGTGCCATTGCCTGCGTTGAGAAGAACACTAGTGGTGTTCGAATTATAGTTTGCAACAACAATATCGGGTTTATTGTCGCTATTCACATCGACGACTGCTACTGACTCTGGAGTAGTACCAACTGAGTAAGTAGTTTGATTAAGAAATATATTGCAGCCTATTAAATACAAAAACTTTGCTCTCATATGTGTACTGGCATTAGGCAGTATTTAAACGTTGTATTTTATTCAATCTTTAAGAGTTCAACTTGATTGAACATAGTTTATTCAAAAAGATTATGTCACTGAATTCTGGACAAATAAAGTAGATATCGAACAACACAAATCAGAATCATTAAAACTTCTAGTGCTTAGTCTGGTTAATCAGCACAGCATCTAACAGACTCTATGCAGCTCCCTATTAATTGATCGAAAAATACTCCGAGAGAAAAATGAAGGATGCAGGTGAACAAGACTAAATATGAGTCGGTGAGGAGTAACCAGAGGAAAGACAAGAACAATGAGGCTTAGTTCTTGCTGACAAAATCCTCGATATACCACTATATTCTAGCGCCATGTTTCTGTTGAAAATCTTTTCTAAAACTTGAACTAATGGAATGCACAGGGACAAGTCCGAATAAACGTCAATTTTTCTTAACGTCGGTTCTCGCAGCGAAAGTCTGAACCAACAACACAATCCCTATAGTTGATTATGTCCAGATACAGCACTCCTAGGAGAAACAACTGAGTTGATCTCTAGGCGAGTATTATTTTTTCATTAAAGTGATAAGCATTTCAACGGTAAAACCTCAAATGTTTTTGTTTAGTAAAACTAACCACCGGTTTGAGGGCTGCAAAAAAGTACAACACATTATCTAGCATATTACTGACCGGCTGTTGTTGCTGCTGATGTTGTTGATAATGACGTTGTTGATGTTGATGTCGTAGTCGATTCTATTTTGAAAAAATTATGTTAGAATGAGACTAAATGATTAGATAACATTTGTTTCGTTTTCTGTAACAATGTATCGGCATTAAATATGAGTTGATTATAATAAAATAGGAAATGTTTAAATGATTTCCATTAAATTTATAATTCTATGATATTTACTGTAAGTATATTTCTCTTAGAATAATTCTGACAATTCAATTTACATTTCTTATAAGTTCACTAAAAAAAGAAACTTTTCGAATCACACAAATTGAGTTATATAAGATCTGCATATTGATTGTTTTCTTGAAATTTTTTATTTTTATTTAACCCTTTCCGGCTGGATGTTGCCAAATGGCAACATTGAGATAATGTTCTACTGATAACTCTTTCAAAACTATTATCGAATACCATTCTTATACTACGATAATTAAAGGTACATATCACATAAATTACCCACTTCTCATTCAATATGAATACGTCTGACTTTTGGAAAATAGTCTAGTACATACTAATTAACATTGGAACGTCAGCATTATTTACCCTTAGTACAAATATTCACTAATAACAGAATTTTGTTGGTATATAAAATAAAAAAAAGAAAAATGTTGCCCTTTGGCAACTCTCGGCTGTTCGAGGTCAAAAGTTTCTAAATTTATTACAAAGCTTCGGTGGCATTATTTAATGACTGTGATATATCATCAACTCTAAATAATAATTAGTAGCTGACTTAGCCATTAATTCAAATATTTACAACAAATAAATGAATCTTCCCATCGATTAAAGACGCGTCTAGATTGGTGAATGTCAGTATCAATCTAAAGATGAGGTTGACACGATGAATTTGAATGGCGAATCTATATAGTATTAGCATTCTTCTCTAACATCTAACGTACTAAACTAAAAAAGGTGGGATTTCCATCGGAAACAAATCTTACGAAATTTTTCCACATATGTCTAGTTTGTTGGGAAGCGAAACTATGTAAGATTTCTTTTAGAATAATCTGCACCGAAAATATACATCATTCAATGGCAAAAGTATGAAATTTTTGCAATATTCATAGTATATTTACTCTGTGCTATGAATATTGCTGATTGATTCATAAATATCAAAGAAGACTTGAGATTAAATTCAATTAAGATCGAAGTAAAATTTGTATAAAATAATTGACAAGTTTGATTTGTTGAAAAATAATTTAATGTCGCTATTGTTCCATTTGAATTTACCATCTGACATATATATTGGTTTTGCGTTACATCCCATAACGATTCAGATATATTACCAATCAATATATTATTATCTATTTTACTGATAAGAGTACAATCACCAGTAGAAACGACCAGTAAAACAAAAAATATCCAAAACATCTTTTATGACTTGATCTTGTAAACTTTTTTGTTAGAAATACTTTAGTTATTAACATTACTGTTTCTCTTTTCTTTCATTTTCTCCAACTCTCTCTTTTTTTAATATTTAATCTCTACAAAAAAAAGTGCTGTTGATTGTTAGTCAGATTTGTGTGAAAAAATAACTGCAGTCATGACTAGCATACATATACAAAACAAGTAGAATAGCAACAAGGAAAAAATATTTGACTAAAGGAGAAGAAAATGTTACCTTGATTCTTTAATTATTTATGGAATTAAAATCGTCACCATCAAATGAAGAGAAGAAAAAAAAACAGTTTTTTTTCTGTATATGGAATGGCGTTCAGTCATACAGAATAAAGTAATTGACGATCATATTTCTAGAGCGCATTCTGAACGATGATGACCAAGCCGTTGCTATATGTTGTTTGGTTCAGCATACTGATTGATGCATTACAGACTAAGATTATTGTGTATAATTTCATTTTTGTCTCTATCAGTTAATCAGATTTATTCTTACAATAGCCTCGTATAATTCACTAGATAAATGCAGAACCTATAACAATATGGTTTTACTGATTATAATTAGTTTATGGCTAATAACAGCGTTCTCAACCATCTTGAGGGTGTGAGAGTGCCCAAGCAGACAAGGTTTTGCAAAAATGCGTGTAAACGCTTAAAAAACCCTTTTTTTGGTGTTTAAACGCCTGCCGACCTGAGTGAACGTGTAAACATGAAGAAATCGCTTTTTTGAATATTAACATAACTAAATGTTTTCAACTGATAGAAACTGGCGTATAAATGCTCAAAACGTTGATATGTTATGAGATTTATCATCAAACTATAAATAACAGATTTTCCACTGTTAATAATCATCGTGTAAACGCTCTGTAACTGAAGTTTTTAATTTGTTTTTCATAAATTTTTTCCGTAACCGATGATAAAAATTTTACCATGCAAGCGATGAAATAGACAGCATAAAAAATGTTTTCTTTTCATAAATTTTTTCCGTAACCGATGATAAAAAGTTTACTGTGTAAAGAATGAAATAGACAGAATAATAAATGTTTTCATACATGAAATTGTATATTTGCGAATTTAAGAAAAATACTGTTGCTTTACACTTGCAATACAAGGAATTCTATTTAAGAAGACGCATCTAAGCTTATCCAATCATTAAAGTTCGAGCGTTTTAATGGATAAGAGAAACTTTTATTGTTAACAGTATTAAATGAGCAGTATAATGATTTAAACTCATATATTTCTGAATATGTATCTTTTTTAAGCCGAGTAATGGCGTAAAGTACTCAATTTCTCCGCGATTTTACGCTGTAATTTTGGATTTATATTCAAAATTCATTATTCATGAGTACTTTAGGGATATTTTTTTATCTAGCAAAATAATGATATATATATACTTCATATCAAAGTTAAAAACATTACTTTTATCTAGAAGAAGGAAATCAATACAGCATATCTTTTAATCAAATAAATATGTTCGCATGTTTATAACAAATGATGTATTATTCTTTTTCAATATAATGTATGAAAAAATATTTACTCTAAGTGCTTTCAACTTTGTTGGGAAAACGAAACAAATGAAAAACCTCATAATTTCTACTGTAAGCAAGTTTGACGATAATATCTTGCACATGTGGGAGAGTGGGTGTGGGTGTGGGTGTGGCTACTAGGGTGTGGATGTGAGTATGAGCCTTGTCCATATCTCACAACCTCGTCCACATCCTCTCACTCTGGCCCACACTCTCATCTACGTGTCTTACTTTTTCTGTTACGATCTTCTGTAAAACAGTATTTCCGAATATCCGTAATAACTTTCATAAATAAAATTTATTTCTGAACTCCCGGCATAAATCTCTAAAATGGTTTCTTTTACGAATGTCTGCGATAAATCATCAAAAAACATTTTTGATTCTGAACATCCGGTCATGCTGTTAGATGTTCGTAATAGGTGGTACGAAACGTAGTTTACCCCATTTCTCTTATAATAATTTTAACAACTTAATTTACATTTCATAATAAGTTTACTAATCAAACCTTTCGAATTACACAAATTGAGGCATGTACGATTTGTATATTGATTGTTTTCTTGAAATCTTTCATTTTCATTTAAGATGAGATTCTGATCAAAAACTAATTCTAACTGAATGAAGAAAGATTACTAAATCGACTTGGTCTAATTTATGATTTTCTTCTCAGAATTCTTCATTATTGCAGTGTATCTAGTTTTACTGTTAGGAGCTTCTTTCAGAGACAGAAGAAAATTTTCACATAACATATTTCGATAATATTCAAAAGTGACAGATTTTCAGTTTTAGTTCAATTTTTCTGCATGACTCAGCCAAGTGCAATACTAACCTCAAATTACTTGTGACGATCAACTTGATAAAAAAATACTGTAATTTCTTTTTTATTTCTTAAGAATCTGTCCAATGCGTTATATTTATATGGAATTCTGATGAAAATTTGTTTAATAAATAGCGATATTTTGTATAGATTGATGAATATGAAAAATAATATCTATAGACGTTTCGTCGGATAATTATTTCATTTTTTCTTCATTATTCTTTTAATACTCGATGGTATTGAGTGTTTAGTTTCAAGTGTTAATGGGATTTCGTTTTACTAAGGTATTTTCAAAGTAGAATTCGAAAAATAAATCTCGAAAGAGGCCGTTTAGTTCAAAAAAAATTGCTTCCGTAAAGACTTTGACTGAATGTTTTTTTCTGTCATTTTGAGCCGAATCGATCTGTAACTTACACATAGATGTGTTGACTATTTCTGTCAGAGATATATTTTCTTCTAAATCTGTTCTATTTTTGTACTTACCAGGTGGAAATCGCGTTCCACTAATAACATTAATGCTAGTAGCATCCACATCACCCAACATATTTCCACTTTGGTTCAACATATTATCAAATAATTCACAATTGAAAGTTGATCGATGAAAAGTTGCTGCTATGCATTGACTTTGACCTAAACAGGCAAATTGACAATTCCTAATGTCTGTTGTAATAACGCTAATGAATGGTAAACAAGTTGTGTTCGCACATTGAAATTTAGCATTAGGTATTAAAGACATTATCATCGATTGTGTATCTTCTCCAACTGTTTGTGTAATAATCATGAATGAAAGCCATAAACAAACGCTTGTTGAAGCCATCAAACGCCAGATTCTAAGTTAATCAAATGAATTCAATTTATAATAGTAGACAAAATATTTATTGAGAAATAAATTCTTTTTTTTTTCTCTCTTTTGAGTGGGTACTGCATATTTTTTTCCCAGATTTATTTTCGTCGATCTAACGGAGAAACGGTCCTGATGTCTTTTTCCCAGAATTCATTTCATCAATCTAACGGAGAAACGGTCCCAATGTCGTTTTCACAGAAGTCATTCCATCAGTTTAATCAAACAAAAATAGTCAGGTCTTTTTTTTTTCAAAAATATTTATCTATTCGGAGAGTTGATTTTCCTACATGTTTAAATGTTATTTGAGGACAATTATATTTATTAATAGCACTTTTGACTTACATAAAAGATGAAAAATATAAAGAACGATCAATGTAACAAAATTGAATTCGGAAAGAAAATAGGATCAACATTTAGTTGGAAATGAAATTTTCTATAAAAATCAAATTAATATAATTGAAATTTATTTATACATGCGAATCTGAATACTTTAAATGTGTCAGTGAATTATCACATCATTCATATAGAACTAGGTCAATCTTTAATGTCTAAACGAAGAATAATCAAACGACTTGTATGATTAGGCGAAAAAAACTGAACACTTCTCCAGAATCAAACACATTCGACTTAAGTTTGTGCAGCATAAAGTAAAACAACATTTCGAAAATCTCTCTTTTTATTATTCTTCCATTTTTGATTGATTATAATTTGTAATTCAATATATAATCATATTTTTCGTCATCATTCTGAAAATGTTGCAAACAATTCAGATATATATTTATGTGGAATAGTGTTAACATCCTATTTATTAGATAAATTAAAACACAGTATTTTTAGTATTGCAAAATTAGTTAAATATTGATTTATTATAACAACACATTCTAATGTACTTTTTTCCTTCATGAAAAATAATTCTTTGAGTAAATGTTTCTCTCATTTATTAGATGTTACAGTAATGTTTTATGTACACAGAACAAGAAATAGAGAGCTTGTAACATCATGTAGGCTCTATGGTAATCATAATAATATAAACTACGTTGTGTCACAAAACGAGAATTGTATATGAATAAAACGATGATGATAACAAAAAGTTAACCTTTTCTCAATAGAAAACAGAATCTCCATGATTACACTAGAAAAACTAAGCTAATGACACGTCTTTTCCTTCTTCTAATATTTTGTCGAAAAAAAATAGGAGAAATACTCTTTCAAGGTTTGAATATAACATACACAACTCCAAAATATATGATTATTTCTGACAAATAAACATTTCCTTTTTTTCTTCTTTCGATTTGAATGACATTGAATTATTTACTAAAGGATCTTGAGGATGTGAATATGCATTCATCTTTTCTTTATCCGCATCTACATTTATCTCTTCTATTTTCTCGACAATCTCATAATAATATAATCAAAAGAATTTATAGCTGATAAGAGATATTATAAAGGTCATGTTGAAATCAATAAAAGAAGTTATATGGAAACAAAGAAAATTTTATTAGAAACTCCAGATAGATTTTTCGATAAGACAAATTGAGATATCAGAAACAAAACAGTTATGAAAAGAAATATATTTTTATTCAACAGCTGCAAGTTTATTTCAATAGGAATGGCTTGACTTGCATCTATTACATTTTGATAAAACTTCAATCGTAGTGATCGTCTCATTTTGTAATGAAATAGGTAATTATCAAGTGTGGATTAAATTGACGAGAAATCCAATAGATCAATTTGAGATAAGTTTCACAAGCAGATCTCAAGATAATGAAAATATAGAAACATTTTCTTAGTAAATTGTTATTACCCTGAGCAGACTGTTTTTTCTTGTTAGTATAAACCATCGTTTTGGTGTTGTGTGGATGTGAGAAAATATCAATATGTATATCCATCTAATTATCTTATCCATACCTGATCCATATTATTTGCTATGATTGTTTAAAATATCAGCAGTATTTCAAATTGAAAAATACAAACAATGTATTACATCACTCTTTTGTTTCTCCATTGTAGGAAGCAACATTTATCGATGAAATCATATAAATATCTGACTCACATATTTTGTTAAATGTTGTTGAATGATATCAAAATAAATATGTAAAAAGTCAATTACTTTGACTAAAATATTCAAACAAAGAGAGAAAGATTAAAACTCGTTTATTTGTTTTTATTCGTAGAAAAGAAAAGCGTCTATCAACTGTTTTGTTTTATTACTCTACGATAAAATAAGATTGTTAAACAAATTCACATTAGATAGTTATGTTTTATATTAAAACTAAAAGCAATTCGATATTACTTTCCATCTGATAGATAATTATATAATCAAAATATAGATCTGATAATTAAGGATCTTATTACATAATGAGAAATTATCTAGTCATTGCTTTTTTCTATGAATGTAATAGTTGAAACATCATCTAAATTATGTCGTTGAAGTTTATACCTATTAAACCATCTTGAGGGTGGGTGTGGGTATGACTACGGATGCTCATAGTGAACAGATTGTTACTCACACTCATCCTGCTTTTTCCTACTTGACATTTCAACAAAAACAAAATTATAGCCTATTTATTTCATTGTTTATTGTTATATTAAGCAATCAAATACTTGTGAGCGAATAGAGTAAAGAATGCAAATAAGTGTAGTCGAAATATTCTTTTCAGAACAAAACTAAACATAAAATCGAAAAGAGACTTAAATAATATTTAGTAATAAAGTATTTTCTGATATTAAAAGTTACTTCTGTGCGCAAAATATGTTAAAATAATATAATAAGTATGTTTACTGCGTATTAGAGTAGTGACGTCTCTGTATGTCTATTTTTATTTATTATCTTAGACTTTTTATGTCAGTCGAAGCAGTTGAAATCTTTTAATACTTGATTAATTAAATGGAAATGAAAAAAAGAATTTTCTCGCTAGCTGTCTTCTATTTTTTCTGTTTACTTGTCTTATTTTGAAGTCAAAGAAAAATTTACAAGTGTTACAAAAAAATGTCTGACAACTCCAATCAAATCAAATTTTACTTGCTCCTTGTTCTACTCATACCCTCTGCATTATGTTCACTAGTACTACTCTATTACTTCATCAAATTAAGAAGAGATATCTGGCAGAAAAGACAGCAAGATCACATAATTTGTTGTTTAATTATTTGTGCATTTGTACAGGTGAGATATCGATATCTTATTTAGAAAATCTATAAAAATTTTCATATTCTTTCTGACGTTTTTGACCCTTAGGTCACAACTGAATTGCCCCTGACACTCAAGTTCCTCTCTGCTGGCTCTGTGCCAAGCAAGTCCGATTCTTATTGTTACTTTTGGATCATCTACAATTACAGTCTCACTCTGCAAGAGCTCCTTCTCATTACAAGTGCCACAATTGAACGCTACCTACTCGTCTTTCACAAGCCCTTGTTCGCAAGTCAACGTTTTAAATTTCTGTTTCACTATCTACCAATGCTTGTTTCCATTGTCTACCCTCCAATCTACTATACACTCATGGCATTCGTCTATCCTTGGTGCACACAGCAGTTTAGCTATACCACATTCACCTGTGCTGGTCTCTGTTATCAAGTGCAGTTGGTCACCACAACTCTCGATTGCTCTCTGAACTATATTCTCCCTGTCGTTGTGACAACAGGTCTCAATTTACTGATCGTTGTAAAGGTTTTACATCAGAAAAGACACATGCAACAACAAAATACGTGGAAGAAGAATATTAAAATGGTGTTGCAACTGTTATGGATCTCGCTGATCTTCATCTTCGCATGGATTCCGCTGACAGTTTCAATTCTAACAGTCACGTACGTAACAGATTCAGATCAAAACTGGCTCTTTACTCTGAGTATGGTAAGAAAATGCCTGATATTCAGTTCCATATACATATCGTTCTATCTCATTTTTGTAGGATTATCTTGGTTATATGACATATCTGGCTGTTCTTCTTTGTCCATTTGTTGGTGTGATGGCTCTGCCTGAAGTACGGGCTAAGATGATGGCTGCCTATAATCCACTAAAAAGGACGAACAACCATATCAATACAGTTACAGCAACTCATCGGGCAACACTCCATACTTTGCATATGACGACTGAAAGAACAGCTCATATGGTAGCTGGGAACCACAGAGTTTCTAAGATTGTAGCTGAAGACTTAGAAGAATAACTTCAATTATTGTATGAAAAAATGTTGTAAATGTTCGTGTATCTGTAATAATTTTCATGACTATTCAAATAAATGTGGACATAGTTTTCACAGTTATACCTCTAAAACTGATGTTTTGTCTGCAGTATCTTGAGGGTGGCTGTGGGCGAATGGGGAGGGGGAGGTGCCTACGGCTGT